TTTGTTTTGATTAACATATAAAATATATTTGTCTGACATAAAAAAAAAAACAATATTGAATAGATGTAACATTACTTTTATTTGTTTCATTTGATTATGTTTTTGTATTATCTGTTTCCTTTTGACAAGTCCCTTTTACTAGTTTTCCGGATAGAAATTTTCAATCCAGTTCACTACTGTACAGTACGATGGCTAATGGTTAAAAAAAAGTGAATGGATAATGTGTGTTCACGCAAACTGCTCTTCCATATCCAAATTCCTTTTCAGATAGGCGAAGCAAAACTGTCCCCACTTATTAAAACAATTACATTAATTCATCTGATAATCCTTCTCTACAGGCTGTAAACAAATGCCGAAGCATTTACAATATAATAAGGGAGTTTTTCCACGGAGCAATAGTTATCAAATTTCTGTTGGAAGGTTAATAAAAACAAATGGATAAGTTACTTCTCGCACGGTCATTATAAAAGGAGCAAAATTCTCGTTAGCTTCAATATCTAAGTTCGAGGTTTCCATAGTGATGATTGTGTATTTCCTACTAACTCCAGTGGTCGGCGTTCAAATCTTGTTAAAAATCATTCAAATTTTGAATGCTGATTTTTAAGAGAGGCTGAGCCTTCCTACTTGGAGACTGATAAAAACAAATTCTTATTTGGTCTTGCCTTAGACACAGCAAAGTTTAGTAAATATTTTCAGTGAGAAACGTGTTCATTGTGAAGATAGAAAATACTCCGTGAAGAAGGAAACTATGAGAACAATGTAAATAATGTATATAGAAAAAGTGTTATTCTCCAGTATTATAATGCAAGAGCGCACTCTACAAATTAAGATGGTAGCACCTGTTCGGGTTCCAACTATGGGCAAATAGTTAACTTCCCAAACTGGGTTCAAAACTCTAGGAAAGTATAAAAAATATATTTTCATAGTAAAAATACCAGCAATACATTTTTTTGGAAAAAAAAGTACCAGTAATACGTTTTTGTAAATGAAATTACTAATGCTCCCAAGAATATTAAATTTCGGCATTAAATGACCCATAAGATGTTGATATGCCGTTAAACAAGCAAACCACTCTCTACAAATTAAAGCCATGAAAAAATCAGACTGCCTCCGTATCCTTTATATTCACTAGATTTAGCATCTACAGATTTTCATTTGGTTCCATCACTAAGATATTTCATAAGTGGCAGAACATCCAGAAACAAATAATTTGAATAGGTCTTTCCAACTTTTTTTGAAAAGCAATGAAGAAAAAAAAATGTCTTTAAACTTGGAATCGTAAATTTTCCTTCTCTTTGGACTGCACTTGTTGTAGATGATTACATTTTACATAAATAATATTTTAAATAAAGTTAAATTCTTTGAATTCAGAACGCTACAAACACTAACGTTTGTTTCACAAGTCGAATGCACACGAAATGTGATTAGCCAATAAAAATCAAACAAAACAAAAGTAAAAATACCAAAATTTCTTTCTTCTTTTTCCCCATATGTAATTCACTTATGAAACTTTAATAATCAAGCTAAGGATGGCCCCTTCCACTTCGATCATCCTCTTCCAACTTGCTCTTGACGTTGTGGCCGACTGAAGTCAATTTTAATTTAGTGCTATTACTCGACTGCCTTGCTACGAAACTGTGGTTAGCAAATTTGCCTCACAGTCCATTAATATTAAAAAGTCATAACTGAGTGTCCTAAATTTATTGTCTTGTCCCAGATGAGTTTAAATATTTTATAGCCGACTAAGTTGGCTTAACTACTTGCTGTTTTCGGTGCTAATGTCAATAATTAAATTTTAAACTTATATAAATTTCTGCTAAATGAGAGGAGATTCAGTATTCAGTTCACATTAACATTTTTTTTCTTTAAATTTAATTTGTTATTCTAAGTAAAACAACGAGGTGTACATAAATTTGTTCCCAAATGGACATGCAAAAAAAACCCCAAAAAATAACAAAGAAACTAATGTCTGCTACTACTACTACTACTACCACACACAATAAAAAATATATGTATACACACGAATATACATTATTACACAAATAAAGAAATATTTACAGTTTTTCAGTCCGGCTTGAAATTTCTAAAAGACGCACCACCTCTTTGAATTCGGAACATCATAAATTAGACTATCATTTGTTTAACAAGTCAAATGTACGTGAAACTTGATTAACCAATGAAAATCAAACAGAAAAATAAAAATGCTAGAATTTTTTTCTACTTTTTTCCATATCTCATTCTCTGATAAAACTTTAATAAAACTGAAACATTTTAGATTGATAAACTTTTCCTATTTGTTCTTTTATCTTCTCATTCTGCCGGATTCTGATCAATATTTGATCTATATTTAATCCCAGTTCAAATAAAGTTAACTAAAATTAGTTTTTATATCATTGCTGGTAAAATATATACGTGGATGGATGTCTAACCGTGGAGCAATGGTTCGCGAAACATTCTTACAAACTACACTGTTCGTAAGCTATCTATGTGAAGAACACCTTTAATAGAGCTTGTAAGAAATTCTGCAATTTAAGCTCCTATTGGCTAATTTTGTAACGACCAATCTCATTGGTCGAATTTTGACTTGGTTTTTTCGCGGGCATTTCAGAACGGCCCGCGCCCTTTTGACTTAGTTACGGATTAGCATTGGAAGTGTCCGGACTCATTTTGTATCTATTTAACAGGGCTATTAGCGCCCAAGCCTAAATAATTAGGCATTGAATGTCCTTCAGCAACCAAAATGGTAATGCTTTAGAGACAGTTGCGGAATATTATTGGAATGGTCTGGACTCAACTTTGAATTTCTTTGCACGGCATTTTAAGTCCAAGCCTAATAATTAGGCATTGAAGATTCCTTTCAACAACCAAATGGTAATGCATCAGTCGACTTCATATCCTATCATATTTCCTTCAAGGCTGTAGAAGATTCCTTTCAGCAACCAAATGGTAATTGCTTCAGAGACGACGTCATGTTCCAGCATCTTATTTCTTTCTAGGCTGTATAATTCAGTCATTTATTGACTGTCGTCAAATGTGTACGTTTACACGAAGAACTTTATGAACAAACTCGACAATAGCCGAGTTTCAACTTCAGCAACCGAAATGGTAATGCTCCAGCAACGACCAGCTAATGACAGCTTTTCTAACCTCGTAGTGACCGATTGTGTCCTACAGAAGTAAAAGACACTACCTATCCATTGAAGAACTACCCTACCCTGTTCCCAGGGGCAAAAAAGGGCAAAATCTTTTTTTTGCAAGGATACAATAAAATTTGTTTTAAGTTTTAAGGTAGGCCTTGTTGAATTGTTTGCCTTTCTTGTCTCTGCCATTGGTTAAACTGTGTGAGAAGAAATTCTCACAAGCTAAGGCGTTCGCTGAAGTTCAACAAATAGCTACTATTATTTCATGAACAGATACGTTTAGACGAGCCAAGAAAAGGGAATTCAACTCACAATGACCTCCGAAATATTTCGTTTCTCACTGATTACTCCACTGTAGTTGCCTTATTCTATACCAATGGTCCTTAAATTTTTTTGGAGTCACGGATCCCTTTAGTCAAGGATAAGAATTAGCCCTTCATAGACACATAGACAAGCAAATACTCACAGTCCGATTGTTTTTTTTACAACACTTGTACGTGCATTTCTCCATATCATACCCTCATGCATACTGCACATACATCAGTTTTCAACAAACCATACGTGAACGAAATTATGGTCAATTAATCCTGGCCAGTATATCAGGAGATAATCAAGCCGTGGAAAATAGGTATTTTTGCTCTTATGAAAGGGCAAAAGATGGCGATCGTGCACACGTTTAAATGGTAAACATAGACCCAACAGCAAGTCAAAAGACGCCAAGCGGTTGGCACTGTAAGTAGTGATTGGGTGAGTTTTCTTTCCAGTCGTGGCAGGATGCATTTTCTGTTATTTCTTTCAATGGGAAACTGTTAATTGGAACAAGGGCTATATAGAGAATATAAATGCTAAGTTTTATCAGGTTCTCACGGACCCCAGGTTAAGAAGCATTGTTCTAGACAAAGCTAAATTTTGTTGATTTTTTAGGGTTAGCAACTAGTCTCACAAACCATTAACTCAGTTTATTTTTTATTCGACCTCAGTCGAAATCATAGAATCAACGCCCCGCTCTGCAATTAATTGTGAACTCACTAATCTTTTTCATAGCTAGAGAGCACAGTTTACCCTGCTATTTAACCCATAGTTGAGGGAAGAAGAGATGAAATCATACCTTTCCCTATAGTATTTGTGAGAAATTGAATACAACCAGCTCGGGTGGAATTCATACATGGCTCACTGATTTCTCTTTCTGCTAACTGTTACTGATGACCTTGAGTCAAACTTAGTAAATTTTGCATTAGTGGCTGTTACAAAGCAATTAAATCGAGAACAACTGCAGCATTTCAATGGTTAACGAATGAGTCACTATTGATTGTTTTGTAGGGGGAGTAGATAATTATGGTTTTAGAGATACAAGTCTTACTAATTAACCCATAGCTGGAGGGAGAATAGGTAGATTCATAACTTTCCCAGGGGTGCTTGCGCGTAAATGAATATAACAACCCCAACTAGAATTGGAACTCCGTTCTCTGATAAACATTTCAGAGTCATTACCCATTACACCACTTGTATATCTAAGCTTTCAGCACCTGGTATCCCCGAGGGATCACCCATCTAGGTACTGACCAGGCTCGGCGTTGCTTAACTTCAATGATCGTATGGGGTGTCACTATTGAGGCCTAGCAGAACATAGCTAAACTGAGGAAACATCTTGGAACACTCTTCGTTTTTAAAGCAACGATTCGCAGAGAAATCTTGGAAGTCAATGTAGATGATTTTATATTTGTTTTGTGGCCTTTTTGCTAGACTAAATGAAACACAAAAATACGTAGAATTACGTCATGCATGAATAAATAATGAAAAATTCCCTTTGAAAAACAATATGCCTTTCTTGCTTTTTCTTTTTAAAAAATAACCCCATCGCTAAAGGGGCGGAGGAAAATCCTTGTAGTCTCCTCTTCCATAATTCATGATGGGGCGACCGGAGTCACTTTCAAGTCCAATCGACTCCGAAGAAACAGAAAGTGGGCTGTCTGTCGATGGACATCTTAGAGGAACACCCTTCGCCCCATATGTCTTGTCCCGGAAAGATGCTTCTTGCTTACTACTTCTCGAATACTTTGCCGGCTCTTTAATGCCGTACACGAAATTGGCAAACCTGTCACCGTTATTAATGTAGGACTCTTTCTTGAAGTTCCAAGTGAGCCATGATATTCTCTCCTCGGCAAACGTCTCGGCCCGCCATAACTCTATCAGCCGGCGGCACACCTCGCCACTGCAGCATCTTTTAAAATGTTGCACCATCGCCTCATCTATCCGCTTGTATTTTGCCGCGTTTTTCTGCACTTTATACAGTAACTGAGCCGTTTTCGTTTTAATATTCAGTAAGATAAGATGTTTTGCTAAATCCAACATGGCTGACGACTTTTCTGCTTTGGTGCCTACAAGAGACATACAGTTTGCCAGAATTGAACCCTGTTCCTCCCAATTCAATTTAGCCAACTGATAGTCTTTGAGAGCATGCCAAAACAATTGCTTCCGCTTTATGAGATTTGATTTCCGAATATCTTGGAATGAATCCTGCAGTTTTCGGACTTGCTCGTTGATTTCGTTCTCATCTTTGTCGGAACGCTGTGGTAGGAATGTCTTTTGAGGAGTCGAATAAACAAAAGATGTGTCTGACGGCTGCAAATTGCCGGCGCTTGTGGTATTCTTTTCACAGGCATGTTTATCAAAGCTAGGTCCTTGATAACCTCTTTGACACAAAGCACCGAACCTGTTACAAGCCTCAACATTTGGGGCGACCACTGACCCTGCGGCCCCCGCCGCCGCCGCTGCTGCTATTGCCATGGTCTCCGTACAGACATGGCGTGCCGCGTACGGTTTCTTCGCCTCCATATCTGCACTAATTATTCCGGACGCTGTCGCTGAGCCGATGCAGTTGGCCGTGAATAGTTCTTGATCGCTGCAGCAACTATATTCGCTGGCACTGTCGGTAAAGTCCGACGAGCTGGTTGATGGCGAGACGGTGAAAATCATGCTATCATGATCCTCAGATTCTGGGATCTCCATCACGCTGGCTGATTTCAAGGCTGCTCTTCTTCCTTGAGCAACGGATACCGTTATGTGAAGCTTGACAACTTAGAAAGACGATAAAAAATGTGCTCTTTTGCCTATGACGTCAGTTCGCGGATATGACGTCAGCCGCATTTTACTTTGTTTTGACTCTCGAATCTCTATGTTTTATATGAATGTCTTCTTTCTTTTCTGCCAACTATTATCGGAAGAACAACGTTTAATACAAACCCTCCATTTGTGGGCAAAGTTAAAAAGATCTTTCTTTTCAGCTCTGACCATATCAATATCTTCTCTGTGTCATAGCTCTCTACAGCTTCCTATTCTTAATATCTCTAAATAATGTTTGTCTTTTCATAAGAAATTTAAGCTTCATGACCATACATCAAGATTTTAGCGATAAAGCAAACTATATGCTGGGCTCTTGCTTAATTTATACATTTGCTTTTCGTCCAAAACCAATGAAAGAGTTTCTCTCCAAATTCCGAGCAGCTTATTTGAAGCCTACCTTGTAGCATATTTAAGGGGACTTTGGATTTGATTTTCGGAGTCGACAAACAGCTGCTGAAGCAACCCAGGTCGCCCCGGTCCAGAAAGAAAACTACGCAGAAAAATTTAAACAACCATGAAACGATAACTAAAAAAACAACTAAATCGCTCCCACCTCAAGACACGTCTTCGGCTGGTATGCTTGATCTAATATTTGCTGTTAATACGAACTTGGCTTCAAAAACGTGTTCCAAACTATTCTTTAATTTCTATTCAGAGAAGTATTCCTCTTTTTCTTTTCTTTACGTACTTTTCTTTTCTGGGAACCTTCTTATGCAACAATATAATTTTAATTGCAATAAGGCATGTTTCATTTTCATTGTTAATTTACATATTATTAGCCATCATTAGGTGTACAATACACTAAATTCTGTGTAATTCTTTTTGTGTGTGTTAAGAATAAATTTTATCGTTGTTTTTTTTTGTTTTTTGTTTTTTTTAACTCGGTACGTGTTGCCTCTGTTATGTGCCGATAAATTAATGTTGCCTCAAGCATTTGTTTGAACTATTTTTTTCGTTTGATTTTTTTACCAAAAACATTCTATATTCTTACTATCCCTCCCAGTTCCTGTCCTGCCATTCCTTTACACAAGATCGTTAGATTGATTACTTACTTTGTCCCTCTTGCCTTCAATGTTCCCGGTGAGTGCCAATTTTCAAAGCCCCTTTCTTCATTATGTGTCTTAGAAATTTCAAGTCATTATGATGCTAAGTATTCGCATTCATTTTCCTTCAAATCTCCTCGTTACTCATCCTGTTTCTATAGAATCACATTTTTGTTGCCTCAAATTTCTTCATATGTGAAGAAATTGTTCAGTATTCACTGCCACATAGGAGGTTTATTAAAGATCAGTTCAGATCATTTATTTGTTTCTAGCGAAATTTTTCTGTTTCTTAATCATCTTGCGGCCTCAGCCGAGATTGAACTCACTAATACTTTGATTGGTGTAGTTCATAATCTTGTCAAATAGCTGAATTCTTGATGCTTCGCTAGGGCTATCAAGGCACCATCACTAAATGGATTGCCGACCAAGGCTCAGAGAGACTCCATTCACCCTCATCTAAAAGCAGGTTTGAATTCAGATTTTTCCTTCTCCTAGACCAGTTATCATCCAAGGCTATTTACCCATAGCTGGAGGGAGAAGAAAAAGGATTCACACCTTTCCCAAGGGTATTAGCACGTAAGTGATTGTAATGGATTCGACTGGAATTCGAACTCGGCTCTCCGATTCCTCAATCCAAGCCGCTATCCATTACTCCACCGTGCTCCACCGTTTCTTAATACTTTGTTTAGCTTTTAAAATGCATCTTTCGCTATCCCAATACATTATTATATTTTGGTGTCATTATTTCCGTCCTCATATTAAGACATTTCTCAGATATTTATTTTTTTTAATTACTTGATTTTTGTATTTCCAATTCGTAGTTAATATCTTGGCATGTTTCTGCTGCAGACAACCATTGTCGGAAAATTAAATAAAACCAATAAATAAAATAATAATGAAGAATAACAAAGATTAATTTTCCCATGATGCAAGTTATAAAGAAACCGGAAAGGATTTCTGGTCACATGCGAGATTTTATAACTCCGTTTTCGAAAAGGACAGAATCACTATTCATTTTTTTTTTTTTTTTTTGCACTTTCCAACGACACCGTTCAGACGTGTTTTGGCAGCCCTTACTCATGAAGTATGCGATTTGGTCGTCCTATCACAGTGTAGGGATGACTTGAGCTCGACCATTTTTACCCGTTCTTATACTTACTTCCCATAACTTACTTCTGAAACCAAAAAGAATCCAGACATACTCAAGAAAAATTAAAAGCTTTATTCCAATACATTCACCATAAAAGGAATAAACGTCCATATCAGAAACACAAGTTTTTGTATGCTTCTATGTTTACATATTGAATTACGCACCTTCACCTCAAATACAAACAAGCCTGACTGTTAACTTCTATACCATATTTTCGATCTTCTTACAATTGATGTTTAGTCCTTTCTTTGCGCTTTCTTGTACTACGTTCTATTGAAGTTTTTAAAGTTACTTTCTGTGTCTGCTATCAACGCTGTGTCATCTGCATATCTTATGTTTTTAAGACTGCGTGCGCCATTAATAAATTCTGGTAGGACTTCTAGTTCTCTCAGAATGGCCTCACTGTAAAGGTTGAACAAGTCTGGTGAAAAGACACAACTCTGTTTTATGCTCCCTTCTGTTTTTGTGTATTTCCTGAATTCATTTTCTATGGCCTAATTCGAGTTTGGCCTAATTCAACATCCTGCATTATTTTATTCTTTAGGTATCAAGATGACTTTCATTAAATGACGAAGCATTTCTCAAAAGAAGACTTAACAAAAACAACATCCGTGGATCTCTGATCCTGTTGAACGGCGACAGGTCAGAAGAAATTTGTTGCTCGAAAAAAATTTCCCTGTAATGAAATAGAAGGTGCAAACCAATGACAACATGCGACTTAAACTTTCATATTTAATATTACGTTCTATTCAATTTCAGTGTTTGCTTTTTGCGACACCGAAGCATAGATTTTGGACCGTATATTTTCGTCTACGATGTCTGAGAGACTGTTGTGGAGTATTTTTCACAGTGGAGGCTTGTATTTGTACTAAATCGGTCCTACATAGTTCGACGTACAAAACGTTAGGAACTTGATATAATAGGTATTACGCAGAGTAATCTTGTTGTGGTCGCTGACTACTTTCGTATTCGACTAACTGTCGTCCGACGTCGACGACTATTTAGTAACTGCCCTACACCTACTCACATGTGGCACAAGGCCGAATTTAATGTGGGTTCCCCAGAGCCCGTAGGCACGGCCAAAATCCCGTAGACCCCGCATAAACGGGATCGGGTCTGTCTACCTCCCCGAACGAAACTCTGCCCTTCGGCATAGCCTCGTCCGGGTTCGTTTCGCCCGAAGACAGAAATTTCGACTGTCGTTCGGCATCGACTAATATTTAGTCACCCCTCCACGAGGGTATCATGTGGCACAAGGCCTGTTTAACATGGGATCTCCGAGCCCGTGGGCTCGGCCAAAAATATACCCTTTGAACCCGTATAAACGGGTTCAGGGTCGGTTTACCTCCCCGAACGAGACTCCACCTTTCGGCGTAGCCTCGTTCGGGTTCCTCGCCGCCCGAAGGCAGAGAGTTCAACCGTTCAGCCGGTCGTCCGACATCGACTGATCCTCGTTTCTCTTACTACTCCTACTTATATTAGGTGGGAGAGTCTATTAACTATAGAATAGGTGTGTTTCACCATAACAGAGACTATGCGTACACACCTCTGCAATAAGTGTTTATATCCCTATACATGTCATATATATGTCATACAACACGTTTCCACGCTTTCAAGACAGACACAGCTGTGTGATTATGTGATTCGGCACTAGGCGGCTGAGAGATCACCTCAGATCAGATCTAGACCTGGACCCCTTGGTGGTTTGGGGTGATATCGAGTAAAAATTCTATGACACTACAATCTTCAAATACATAAGAAAATATGCGGAATTGTTGTAGTTAGTTTAAATGTATTAGCTTAAATTGATTATACGCTGATGAAAGGCCAATAATGACAGCTAAATAACAGCTTATCATAGTCAGAGATTTATAAGAAGGTGGGCCGGACTCGGACACTTTATTTTGATATCCTGAATGCCATAATTATGAGCAAGAATAAGATTTAAATTTGTGTGACGTAAAGGTTAAACTATTATAGCTAGAAGAAAATTAAAGAACATTTGCGAAATGACAAGGCTTGTAAGTGTGGCGAGTACAGTGGTTAGAAGAAGAAAACCACCAAAAGCATTAAAGATATCAGGCAGCTAAAACTTATTGAACGCAGGTTTTCACATCAAGTATGTAATGAATTAATATACATGCACATGTATACACACACACATACTTTAACACACACTGGCACGCTGGTCAGGAAAACACATATAGCAGTAGGATGTGGGGCTCTCCCGAAGCTTACATGTGTGGAAGTTCCGGATTGGTCACAGGATCGCCCAATTGCGGTCCGTCTCTCTCAGTGGGAAATGTAGTATTCTTATTTTCCGTATGTTTTTCCTGTGGAGCAAAGACGGAAATAAACACCAAGACAGTCAACCACATCACAAAAATGGAAGCAGAAATTTCGTTATACTATACTTAAGAAAACATTTACGAAAGGTAAAAACTTTGTATGTTGCTTATAGTTTTCCAGTACAGTAAGTGTAGACTATTCTCATTCTTTTCTTCATGGTGTCTACTAAAAAAATATTACAAGTACGAACCAACAGAAGAGCTACTTTGGTGGAAATTCAGAGTATCTATACTAACTAATGCTCGTCGCCAAAAGCATCTCCAATTGACATACGAGCATTGGAATTGGATTGTGTGTAAAAGGAAGAATAT